CTAGAATAATCCTCTCACCTATATCTCAGATATTGAAGCCTTCAAATACTTTGAAGACCCCAAAATGCAGAGAATCCTCTAGCTGTGATCTGTGCCCCCTGCTCTAGGCAGGACCAATTCCAACTAAATCAACCCGGCCAGGGCTTTGTCAAGCTGAGACTTAAACACCTCTAGGGATGGAGACTCCATTACTTCCCTAGGTAACCCATTCCAGTGCTTCACCACCCTCCTAGTGAAATAGTTTTTCCTAATATCTAACCTGGACCTCTCCCACCATAACTTGAGACCATTGCTCCTTGTTCTGCCATCTGTCACTACTGAGAACAGCCTCTCTCCATCCTCTTTGGAACCTCCCTACAGGAAGTTGAAGGCTGCTATCAAATCCCCCTTCACTCTTCGCTTCTGCAGACTAAACAGACCCAAGTCCCTCAGCTTCCCCCCCCTTTGAGTGAGGCTTTAGAGAGGGAGTTCTCCAGGTAGAGGAGAAGCAGATACAGGAGTCTTGAGGGAAGTGTGTGTTGTGTTTGGGGCTTTCTTGCTGTGTGCTGAGCTTGTGTTTGTGAGTGAGGGTTGGTGTGTGTGCTTTTTTGTTTTTTCTTTCTTTCTCTATTTTCCCCTGTCTTTGAGAGTGAGGCTTTTTTTTCCCACCTCCCCTCTGCCCTCCCCCTCCCCTTGATGGAGTTTGTGCTGTGATTGGCTGTGATTGGCTGGTGGAAACTGTTGGCTTCTAATTAAAGTTTTAATTCTAGAAGCCTCTGCTGATTGGCTGAGCTTTGGTAGGGGGAGGGGCTTTATAAGGCAGTGGGCAAGCGACCAAGGAGCTTGCGAACAGGTGAGTGCTAACAGAGAGTTTTGAGAGGGAGTTGGGAAGGGCGGGACCAAGGAGCTTGTGAACAGGTGAGTGCTAACAGGGAGTTTTGAGAGGGAGTTGGGAAGGGCGGGAGGTTCTCTTGCCTTTCTTTTTAAATCCCTTTTCCAGGACAGCAGCGATGGTTGGTGATGGGTCTGCTGTTGTTACCTGCACAGTGTGTGCCATGTTTGTCTTCCTCCCGGAAGAAAGAACGGATTTCATCTGCACCAAGTGCAAGCTGGTCGACATTTTGGAAGAAAAAATTAGAGGACTGGAGGCCCAAGTGTCGACCCTACGCTTGATCAGAGAGGATGAAGACTTCCTCGATAGAAGGCAGCATTTAATCCTTCAAGCACGGCAGGCAGAAGAGCCAGAGAGGGCAGTACGTGACCAAGAAGAGAACTGGCAGCATGTAACTTCTAGAAGGGGAAAAAGGCCAGCACGGGAATCCCCCGATGCTATAGAGGTAAGCAATCGCTTTCAAGCTCTCTCCACAGGCTCTGCAGTGCTGAAAGCTCTGGAAGGGACCTCACAAGGAAGAAACCAGAAGGGAACACCATCTACTGGAAGGCATGGGATGCGTAGTCCTACGGATGTGGATTCCTCTCCCCACACCTTGATGAGTTCCAAGATCTCCTGGACACACCATGCTGGTGTTCTTCTGCACTTCTAGGAACTGGAGCTCATGGAACTAGAAGCATTGGAAGTCATGGCCACTTGTGTCACTCAGGTATGCTGCCTGCTCTGAGATGGGCTTCTAACACTGACCACACACGAAATGAAATTCAAACTTTCCTGGAGCTTTTGGTGTCATGTATGTCAAGTTTAAAAATATGCAATATAATCCTTATTTATCCTGTTTATTTAGCTAGATCTTCTAGTGGAAGCCATTAATGGACTTAAGGAATGTAATGGCCTGGTGCTCAAGACAAGGATCTGTGAATAGTTTTTACTGTAAGACTGGATTGTGGTTTGCAATACAATAATAGGTGATCATGTGTGACAAAGTGGGGGATTTGTGTGGAGTTCCAAGTGTTTGCATGCAGAGGGGAGGCACTCAGTGTCCCTGGAAGTTACTGGTTTAATGAGGCAAGGGAAAAGGGAGTTGGTTGTTATAGGAAAGAGCACATAACTGAAGACCTCAGGGACTGGAGAGTGAGAGACTTGGCTCAGAGCTGTTTCTGTCCAGTGGAAGAACAATGGGCTGCAGACAGAGGACCCTGGTGGGACACAACCAGACATGGGGGTACAAAGGACAAATGAGAGGAGAGGTGGAGAAGAGAGGGGCTCATGTAACCTCAGTTACCTGGACAGAAGACAAATTGTGTAGCTTATTTTAAGCTTATTTCAAAATAGACCACTATTCCTACAAGTCCCTTAATCCTTGTGGAACGAGGGTTACTGGGACATGGGAATAGCAATCCTGTTATTTTGAAATAACAGGCATGCTGTTAAGATGCAGAAAATGCTATTTTGGGATACCAGATGTATCCCAAGGTAGCGCCGCTGCCAAGTTATACCCCTAGAGCTGAACTGTTCTCGGTGTTACTCTGTTGGGGGGATATTACTCCTGCTCTGTGCCTTTGTCAGGGGAGACCAGAGGTTCTGACTCAGCAGGATAGGGTCGTGGGATGCACCAGAGGGCAGGTAGGTGTAGGCAAGCTCATTGGTATGAACAGCCTATCAGGTGACAGTCTTGAGGGAATCTCTATGAACCAACCTATCATGCTCACCATTTATCTCTTTTTCCATGTCATTTATGAAGATGTTGAATAGGATGGGTTCTAGTACAGACCCATGCTGGACATCTGCAGTTACCTCTCTTAATTCTGAAAACTGGCCATAGTCCTAACTTTTGTTACACCTCTCTTAACCAGTTACCAATTCATTTGATACAGAAGCTGATTCAAATGATACTTTTCAAACTATGGTTAGTAGTTCTCCAGTTTTCACTTTTTAATTCTTTCAGAACTCTTGGGTGAATGCCAGCTGGCCCTGGTGACTCGTTACTTTTTAATTTATCAAGTTATTTCAAAACCTCCTCTAATGACACCTCAATCTGGGACAATTCTTCAGAATGGCTCAACTTTGGGAATCTTTTACATTCTCAGCTGTGAAAACAATGCAAAGTATTCATTCAGTTTCTCTGCAATGGTCTTGCCTTGCCTGAGTGCACCTTTAGCATTTCAATAGTCCAGTGGCCCCATGAGTTGTTTAGCAGCTTCCCACTTCTGATGTACTTGAAAGTTTTTGCTGCTTCTTTCTGAATCTTTGGCTTGCTGTTCTCCAAACGCCTTTCTGATCTTCATAATTATCTTTTTACACTTCCTCTGCCAGAGTTTGTGCTCATTTCTGTTTTTCTCCAGTAGAATGTGCTGTATCCAGCCACTCCAGGAAGGATGCCAAACCAGAGCGGCCAGTGTGGAGCACTGACAAGGACACAAGACATTTCTCAGTCTGATCCCCCCAAAACCCCATGAAGAGGTAAGTCTAGCCTGTCCAATGACTTACCAGGGAAATTCCAGTATCGTCAATGACCGGTGTGTGTAGCCCTGTGACCTTATGATGTTTTACCAGCCATGCCAGGGACCTTTCAGTGCAATCTCAGACCTGCCAATGCTCTGCCAGGGCAATTCTACCCAAGCTAGTAACCACCAGAACAATTCCAGTCCTGTCAGTGACTTGCCAGGTTACATCCAGCCCTTCCAGGGTATGTCTACACTGCCACCCTAGTTCGAACTAGGGTGGCTAATGTAGGCATTCGAACTTGCAAATGAAGCCCGGGATTTAAATATCCCGGACATCATTGGTATGTTCCTGGGCAGGCGCCATTTTTAAATGCCCGTAGTTCAAACTACCTGCCCGCGGCTGCACACGGCATGGACTAGGTAGTTCGAATTAAAGCTCCTAATTCGAACTACAGTTAAACCTCCTTGCAGGAGGAATAACAGTAGTTTGAATTAGGAGAAAATGAAGCCTGGGATATTTAAAGTTCGAATGCCTACATTAGCCACCCTAGTTCGAACTAGGGTGGCAGTGTAGACATACCCCCAGGCACCTGCTGGGGCAATTCCACCCATGCCAGTGACATTCCAGTACAATTCCAGCCCTGCCAGTGACCTGCCAGGGCAATATCATCCATGCCAGTGACCCATCAGGGAAAATCTAGTCCTGTCAGGGGCCCTCCAGTACAATTCCAGTGCTGCCGGTACCTGGCAAGGCATTCCAGCCCTGCCAGTGGTCTTCTAGGAATAGTCAGTCCTTCAAGTGGCCTATTAGGAACATTTAAGTCCTGTCATTCGCTTCTAGGGCTATTCCAACTCTGCCAAAGTTCTGTTGGGACAATACCTGACCTGCAAGCAGCTTGATAAGGACATTGCAGCCCTGCCAGTGGCCTGCCTTTTGGCCTTTCTGCAATGCAGTGCAGATTTTCTAAAGGCTTTCATCCCATCCAGACAGAAGGCCAAGGCTCTCTATGCAGTACAACCTCACTGTTGTCACAGCCAGGCTTTGGGTGGAAGGTGGGAAGAGGAACGAGCTGGTTCATGTGAGAAGCCCAAGTCCCTGTGGGTCTGACTTTGGTTACCTGGGTGGTGTTGTGTTCAAGGAAAGGAGGGTGTGCCATTAATTCTATTTCCCCTGGTCTGCAAACTGAGGGGATAGTGACCAGGAACGGTCGTTTCTGAGAGACGTGTAACAGAGGAAATGGTCCCCAGATTCAAAGGGTGATCTAGTCAGGTTCTTTAGAAGTAGAGTCAGATCCAACATTGGAATGGAGTGTCTGGGTTTGAGGATGATGCTTCCTATGTCCTTGAGCAGTCTCTTTGTCAGTGGGTGGCCAGACCCCAAGCATCTGTCTGCTAGGGGAAAGCTGCTTTGTCTGCAAGATGTACTTTGAGTGAGCTAGGAGCTAGTCCTGCCCTCTGGAGGCAATTTGTAGTCTAGCATGACTGGGAGGAAGATATGGGAGTAATTTATTTGGAATTACACATACCCTTGAACCTTTTCCATGTCAGCAGGTAAGCATGGCATCTCCTCATCACCATCCCCACACATCCCCACATTGTCTGCTCCATGACCTTGTTCTCCTACCTCTCCCCTGCTAGCCCCATGTCACCCCAAACCCAGGAATCACACTTGGAGCACAAGGTGAAAGTCAGTCTCTTTATTCCATGAACAGCCCCTTCGGCACAGTGACGGGTGGGTCCCTGAGACCAGCCCAAGGGTCTGAGAAGGGAGGGCCGGGCTCACTCTGCTGTAGTCCCTGAAGAGCCCTGAGTGGCTGGGTTGGGGTGATGGGTCCCCTGGGCCAGGGGGACATGGCACTAGGGTGCTAGATGCAATAGGGGGATATGGCACTGGGGAATATTGCATAGGGGGCTGGAAGGCATGGGGTCAGTGTATGGAGAGGAGAGGGCAGAGTCTAGAGCACTCATTGGGAGACTCAGGGGGCACTTACTAGCAAATCCCTCAGGGGCCTTTTGTAGGGGCTGCTCCCCCATATCTCAGCCCCCCACAAAGGGAGGAGTCATCTGCACACCCTAGCTCAGCCCTAACCACCATGCCTTCACCTTTGGGAGAGGATGGAGCATGGGGGACCTCAGAGGCATCTGCTCCAGGAATTAACAAAGCAGCGAAGCAGTCCCCTAGGATAATGGGGGACGTCCCATGTGTGAATGGAAACAGGGGCTCCTTCAGGGAATATGCCAGGGATTCTGATAGGTAGACATCTTGGACATCTGTCTCATCCCACTTGGGCCTCAGGAACCCTTTGTGGCAATCTTGGACATTTCCCTCATCCCCACAGTGCCTTGGAGTGTGGCCAGGCTGGGACCCATTGGGCAGCCATCTTGGAGGCATCCCTCATCCTGTTCCAAGTCCAATTATGGCTATCCCAGACCTGCTCTGAGTCCATCTCAGGCCTAGGAACCCAGTGGGTGGTCAGACTTCTCCCAAGTCCCTGAGAAGCAGATGTTTAGCTCAGTCCCCTGGAAACAGGCTGGAAGCTGCCTGGAAATCTGATTTTCCCTCCCTTTATCCCAGGAAACCCCACCAGGCCCCCACTCCTCAGACCCAAAACGTCCTGCAGCAACATCATCAAAACAATCCGAAGCATGAGAAATATGCAAACCAGGAAGCACGAGTGCAAGTGCCCAGAGTTGAAGGGCACAGCCCAAGCTTTGCATTGCAGGAGCAGCAGCCATGTTGCTTCCCCCATCATGCATTGCGGTGGGGCAGCCTTGCTCGTCATGAGGAAAAGGGATGTGTCTAAAAGAGCGAAGTGCCCACTGCCCGCCGTGGGGCTGGGAGAGCGAGTGCTAGGATTCACAACAACATGCTTTGTTTAGGGGCACCCCCAGGCGTGCAGGGTGTGTGGGGAGCCAGCTGGGGGGCACCCCGTCTCGAGTCACTCCCCTCTTCATTCCACGCCGTAGCCTCGGGCCTGCAACAAATAATGTCACTAAAAACCAGGTTCCCTGACTACAGGCCCTGCAGCCAAAGGAGAGCCCCACTGCTGCTAGCAGTAGTGGACAGTTATCTTCTGTGGTTTAGGTAGACAATTTTTTATGGGGGGCACTCCAAGAATTTGGAAAGTGATCAAGGGCCACACTCTTCCATTATATCAATGGAGGAGATGTGGAGACAGGGATGGAGGTTGGGTGCAGAAGGGAAATGGGATGCAGGAGGGGCTGTGAGGTTTGGGTGAAGGAGAGAGTTGTGACCTGGGGCTGGGGTGCAGGGTGGGGTGCAGAGGGTTTGGGAGGGGTATGAATGCAGGAGGGAAAGTAGAGGGTTTGGATTGTGACCTGGGACAGGAAGAAAAGGGGAGGGAGAGGGATGCCATGTGCAGGCTCTGGACAGGAGGTGCTTACCATAGTAGGTGCTCCCTGCCAGCAGCCCAGAGGGACCCTCCGGTAGGCTCCCTGCCTGCCGTGTCCCCCCCCCCTCCCCCCACACACACACTGCTCAAAGTGGCCAGCTACTGGGGACATGTGTATCTCTCCTGGCTGTGGGAAGGGTTCAGTGCCTAGGGTTAAAATAGGGTCTGGAAGTTAGGACTCCTGTGGTACGTCTACACTGCATGCTTATTTCAAAATAAGCTATTCCAGAATAGTTATTCCAAAATAGTTATTTTGAAATAGGAGGTCTACACTACAAGGAAGCCTCAAAATTAGTCCAAGGCAGGCTTCCCTAATGTAGACGCACGATCTCGATTTAGAGCCCCAGGAGGCACTGGGGAGGAATAACTTAAAATGGCCCTAGTGAGGGGCTATTTTGAAATAGCAGCAGTGGAGTGTCTACATGCGCCTTATTTCAAAATAACTATTTTGGAATACAGGACTATGTAGCACTTTAAAGGCTAACAAGATGGTTTATTAGATGATGAGCTTTCGTGGGCCAGACCCACTTCCTCAGATCAAATAGTGGAAGAAAATAGTCACAACCATATATACCAAAGGATACAATTTTAAAAAATGAACACATATGAAAAGGACAAATCACATGTGATTTGTCCTTTTCATATGTGTTCACTTTTTTTTTTAATGTATCCTTTGATATATATGGTTGTGACTATTTTCTTCCACTATTTGATCTGAGGAAGTGGGTCTGGCCCACGAAAGCTCATCATCTAATAAACCATCTTGTTAGCCTTTAAAGTGCTACATAGTCCTGTATTTTGTTTCAGCAACACCAGACTAACACGGCTACATTTCTATCACTATTTTGGAATAGGCGTTATTCCTCGTAGAATGTGGCTTACAGATTTCAGAATAAGCCAGTTGTTATTTCAAAACTTTTTTGAAATAATGGAATGGCTGCATAGATGCTCGCACTGTTATTTCGAAATAACGCTAGTTATCAAAATAATGGTGCAGTGTAGATGCACCCCTGGGTTCTCTCATGGTTCTGAGGGTGAGCCTAGTGGTTAGAGCAGGGGGCTAAAAGCCAGGACTCCTGGGTTCTACCCTGGCTCTGGCCTACAGGGCAGTGGCACAAAGCACAACACTGTGGTGAGTGCAGGGAGGTTTTCTGCCCCCACCAAGGAGGTGAGGGACCATCGGGCTGGGGCAGAAGCAAGGCAGAGTCTTATGGGAGGATGCAGGTTAGCACCAAATCCTATGGACCAGGGCTTACCTGCCACATGAGGTTCCCCAGGCCCGTAAACGGCCCACATGAGCTATTCAGCCACTTGCACCCCGGCGCAGTTCTCCTTGCTCTCCGACGTGATGGCCAAGTACTCGGAGCTGTGAAGAGACAGGGGTGAGGATTGGCTGCTCCCAGGTATCCCTAGCAGGGCTCTGTACCCTGAGTCCCTTGCACTCACGCATTCTCCTGTGCAGCTGCCTCCGTGGCTGCCGCAATCTTCTTGTAGCAATAAATCATCTCGGCCACCAGCCAGATGGTGAGTACCACAATGAGCACGTACATCATGATCTCTGACACGATGGAGGCCATGTCCCGGTTCGCTGTGGAGCAGAGTGGGGGGATAGGATCAGACTGGCCCTGCATCTCATCCCCAGCAGTCCCATGCCCCTCTCCTCTGCCTCAGCCACTGGCAGGCCCCATCTGAGTATCCCGCTACGAATGGCCGTCTGCACTGCACTTCCCCCAGTTCTGGGGGCTGCTCCCAGACATCAGAGACCAGCTACTTCCTGGCACCACCAGGACCACATATCCAATCCAGCCCCACCTTGGCCCTATTGCCCCCCTACTGGATTTATGGAGCACACATTCCATTTCTCAGCCTGCACAAGGGGCTAACCAAGCCCAGGTCACTTTGCCTAAGCATCCCCCAGCTTGCTACACCAGCCCAGGCTGAACTGATGTGGCAAAAGTGCTGGTACCATCCATTCCTGTGTATCCCCTTTATTCAGCACTGGTGAGGCCACATCTGGAGTACTGCATCCAGTTCTGGGGCCCCCACTACAGATAGGACGTGGATGCATTGGAGAGGATCCAACAGAGGGCAACCAAAATGATTAGGGGGCTGGAGCGCATGACCTACGAGGAGAGGCTGTGGGATTTGGGCTTGTTTAGTCTACAGAAGAGAAGAGTGAGGGAGGATTTGATAGCAGCCTTCAACTACTTGAAGGGGAAGGTCCAAAGAGAATGAAGAGAGGTTGTTCTCAATGATGAAGGATTGCAGAATGAGGAGAAATGGTCTCAAGTTGCAGTGGGGGAGGTCTAGGTTGGAAATTAGGGAAAACTATTTCCCCAGGAGGATGGTAAAGCTCTGGAATGGGTTACTGGTGGAATCTTTTAAGTCCCAGCTTGACAAAGCCTTGGCTGGGATGATTTTATTGGGGTTTGGGTAGGTGTCATGTATTGGATTTTAAAGTGAACAGACAGATCACTGCTGCACCCACGGAGAGCAGGGGTGAGGGAATGGCAGGGGCGTTTGCCCCAGATTCTGTACAAAGTTCGGGTCATGTAAGGTGTCAAATGAAAGCTTATGCTCTGCTGATTCTACTTATGATACTCATGTACTTGTCTGATGTTTGTATGTGGAGTTATGAATATGGGCTCTGTTCTTGTATTGTAAATGTTCTCTATCTAGCAGAGAGCAATGGGCCTGGACTGCCTATGGTGAGGAAGGATTGTACAGTGAATAGCTGTGCTCACTAGCACTGCTCTATGGACAATGGCTCTCAGAGCAGCCAATACACACCTGAGGAATGTGTCTGGAAACCTGCAGACTGGCCAGGACCTCATGGCTGCTGATATGTGACACAGATATAGATCACTTGATCATGTGACCAACTCCAGCTTGGGAGACACAGTGGAATATAAAAGTGCCATGAGGATGTCTCCATTTTGTCTTCAATCTTGCTACTGATCACAGAGGCAGCCTTGTCAGGGACGGAGAGCTGGGAAGGATTGCTGACCCATCCTGACATAGGATGTACACCAGAGACTTTTAAGCTAGCAGTTTGTAACATCTCTGATAAGAACCTGCATCAAGAACTTGGTGATTGGTGCATGTAATGTCTTCTCCTTAACAATCTTACTCTCAGCCTTTTCCTTCTTTTATTAATAAACCTTTAGATTTTAGATTCTAAGGGATTGGCTCAGCATGCTGTTGTGGGTAAGATCCAAAGTGTAAATTGACTGGGGACTGTGGCTGGTTCTTTGGGGCCGGGAGTATCTGTTTGGGGTTGGTAAGATCAGGATCTATAACCTCTCACCTGTGTGTAAGGCTCGTGGCTGATTGTGGCACAGGGAGAGCTGGGGTGTCTGAGCTGTTTTGCTTGTGAGGCTTCCTGCTGGCCAGCTTGGCAGCTGAAGTGCTTGGTATGACTGGTTTGTGGCCTATTTTGGGAAAGGTCTCCAGTTGAGGGCTGTAAGCAGCCCTGGTTTTGAGATGATGACCTCAGCGGTGCCCAGACCCGACCTGGTCCGTTATAGTATGGGGTTAGACTCAATGACTCCTGCGGTCTCTTTCAGCCCTAGGATTCTATAATTCTATCATGCATACCTCTGCCCCTTGTGCCTCCACCCCCTCATATGCTCACTCCTCATGGGCATGGCCCCTCCCTCCAGGTGGATGGTCCCTGTCTCCCTGTGACTCAACCTCCAATTACATACCTGCACATTGTGAATGTGGAGGGGGGTCCATACTGCCCCACTGTCAGAACAAGGACCATGTCCTATGTATGCAGACCCACACCAATGAGTGCAACCCTCCCTCCATGTGGCCACAGCCCATATGTCTCCAGCCCCACCCTCTGTAAGGAGCCCCACTCCCATGGCTTCCCTGTCCTTGTGCTTCTGCTTCATGTACATGGTCACCTTGGTGCTCAGATGTCAGTTCTGATATTCAGGGCTTTGTCAAATACACACCCCTTTTATGCTAGAGACATCACCCTATGTAAGTAGCTCTGCCCCTTCTCCTGGCCCCACCTACTGCCCATGGCCCCACCCACTGTCCACACCCCACCCACTCACCTTTGTCCACCACCTCAACGTGGATGGTCTTGTTGATGACGATGTTGAAGATGTAGCCGTCGAAGGTGAGGTTGCGGTCGACGCGGCACAGGTATTCACCCGCATGTTCATAGGTGACGTTAGTCAGGAAGATGGACAGATCTTGCAGGTCCCGCGTGTTTTTGCTGCCATTCCACACCACCAGGTCCTGGAACCGCTCATCCACCACCTCCAGCAGTGTGTCAGGGTCATACCGTAGGATCTGGGGGGCCCAGAAATCAGACAGGGTATGTCTACACTACCCCGCTAGTTCAAACTAGCGGGGTAATGTATGCATACCGCACTTGCTAATGAAGCCCGGGATTTGAATTTCCCGGGCTTCATTAGCATAAGCGGGGAGCCGCCCTGCTGCAGGTTATGCGGGGTGTCTCTCTATGGGTCTCTAGAGAAACCACACTGTGGGTTGGGGGATTGTCTGGGGTAGTGTCATCTGTGCCCTGTCTCCCAGGGAGCTGTGGGCTTAGCCTGTGGTGACTGTGGGGTTGTGGTGGATACTGGGCCTCCCCCTTAGGGGCCAGGTGCCCGCCATGGAGTGGAGGTCTTGGGCAGGTGCCCCTTGCAGGACTGTAGTGGGTGCTGGGCCTCCCCTGCATGGCTGGGGTCTCAGAGACCACTATGGGCCTCCCCCATAGCACACAGCTATCTGTGGGTATGTCTACACTACCCTCCTAGTTCGAACTAGGAGGGTAGTGTAGACATACCCACAGATAGCTGTGTGCTATGGGGGAGGCCCATAGTGGTCTCTGAGACCCCAGCCATGCAGGGGAGGCCCAGCACCCACTACAGTCCTGCAAGGGGCACCTGCCCAAGACCTCCACTCCATGGCGGGCACCTGGCCCCTAAGGGGGAGGCCCAGTATCCACCACAACCCCACAGTCACCACAGGCTAAGCCCACAGCTCCCTGGGAGACAGGGCACAGATGACACTACCCCAGACAATCCCCCAACCCACAGTGTGGTTTCTCTAGAGACCCATAGAGAGACACCCCGCATAACCTGCAGCAGCACAGAGAGACAGCGGGAAGCAGGGGGCTCCAGGCTAGTGGTGTGCATACACAGCGCTGCCAGCCCCAGGTGTTGGGCACCGCATGGAGGGCACTGGTGCTGCACCGAGCACAGGGCAACAGCCTAACAGTGGGGTGAGGCGAGTGGCTGGCACTGGGTGGCTGGAACAGGCCAGGTGCTGCAGGTCTCAGATGAGTCTCCATGTGACTCGCCTGTGCAGCATTGAAGGGACTCCACATTTCCTCGGAAATCAGTGTTTGGGGCTCCCAGGCTGTGGTCAGTGAAGCTCCTGGTGGGGGAGAGAGCTCATGGGCAACTAGCAAGGTCAGCCCCATAGGGAGTGCCCCCCATGGACCCCACAGAGAGTGACCCCCAAGGAGAGTGACCCTTTAGGACAACACAGAGAGTGACCGCCAAAGAGTCTCACTAAATGACACCTGCATAGAGAATGACCCCCCCCCAAATGGCCCACAGTATCCCAGAGTGATCCCTTGCTGAGCGAGGGAGAAAAGGCAGGATGGATGCAGTGTGTTCTCAATGCAGGACTCCTAGGTTCTAACCTCCTGGCAAGAAGTTGGGGTCTAATGGTTAGAGCATGGGCCTGGGAGCCGGCTTTGGTCTATGCCCAAAGTTGGGGGTGGTGAGAATAAAGTCTAGAGAATTACAGGGGCCAGGGTGCTGAGAACCTGGCCTCTGGATCTATCGCCAGTGCTGGGGGGGAGTGAAGTCTAGGGAGCTAGAGGTGGACTATAAACCAGGACCTTGGATACATCCCAAGTACTGGGGGGTGGAAGTGAAATCTAGGAGGTTGGTGGGATAAGGCTGGGAATCGGTCCCCCAGGGTCTATCCCCAGAACTGTGGGGAGTGAAATCTAGGGTGCAGGCAAGAGGGCTAGGATCCAGGCCCCTGGCTATATCCCAAGTGATGGGCTGGAGAAGGAGGGAGTCAGAAGCATCCAGCGCTGGGTGGAGAAGAGACACTAAGATGCACCCAGCACTGGGCAAGGGAGGGGATGCTAAGGAGCAGCCAGCAACTAATGGGGGAGGAGGCACTCAGTACTGGGAAGGAGAGGGGATGCTAAGGAGCAGCCATCACTGGGCAGGGTTGGGGATAGTATGTAGCACCCAGCACTGGGTGAGGAAGGGGACACTAAGGAGCACCCAGCACTGGGTGGGGGAGGAGACAGTAAGGAGCACCCATCACTGAGGTGGGGGAGGACACTAAAGAGCACCTGGCACTGGGCGGGTGAGGGGACACTAAGGAGCACCCACCTCTGAGACAGGGGAGGACACTAAAGCTATGTCTATACTGTAGCCTTCTTGTGGAAAAGCATACGCAAATGAAGCATATGCATGGAATATTGCCACGCTTCATTTGCATAAATAATGAGCAGCCATTTTTGAGCAAGAGGCTTTTTTGCAAAAACGAGCAGTGTAGTTGGCCCCTTTTTGTGCAAACCCCCCCCTCTTGCGCAAGAGCCTGAAAAAATGAGGAAGAACAGCTTGCCAACTACACTGCTCGTTTTTGCAAAAAAGCCTCTTGCTCAAAAATGGCTGCTCATTATTTATGCAAATGAAGCGTGGCAATATTCCATGCATATGCTTCATTTGCGTATGCTTTTCCACAAGAAGGCTACAGTATAGACATAGCCTAAGAAGCACTAGCTCTGAGGGGGGAATGGGGATACCAGTGCTGGGTGGGGGAGGGACACTAAGGAACACCCAGCGCTGAGGCAGGGGAGGAGACACTATGGAGCAGCCAGTACTGGCATGGGAAGACTCTAAGGAACACCAGTGGCTGAGCCTGGGTGGGGACACTAAGGTGCACTCAGCTATGAGGCAGGGAAGGGCTGCTAAGGAGCATCCAGTGCTGGGCGAGGGGAGGGGACACTATGGAGTACCAAGTGTTGAGTGCAGGAAGGGACAGTATTGGTACTGAGTGGAGGAGGGGACACTAATGAGCACCCAGCACTGTGGCGGGGGAGGGGACACTAATGAGCACCCAGCACTGTGGCGGGGGAGGGGACACTAATGAGCACCCAGCACTGTGGCGGGGGAGGGGACACTAATGAGCACCCAGCACTGTGGCGGGGGAGGGGACACTAATGAGCACCCAGCACTGTGGCGGGGGAGGGGACACTAATGAGCACCCAGCACTGTGGCGGGGGAGGGGACACTAATGAGCACCCAGCACTGTGGCGGGGGAGGGGACACTAATGAGCACCCAGCACTGTGGCGGGGGAGGGGACACTAATGAGCACCCAGCACTGTGGCGGGGGAGGGGACACTAATGAGCACCCAGCACTGTGGCGGGGGAGGGGACACTAATGAGCACCCAGCACTGTGGCGGGGGAGGGGACACTAATGAGCACCCAGCACTGTGGCGGGGGAGGGGACACTAATGAGCACCCAGCACTGTGGCGGGGGAGGGGACACTAATGAGCACCCAGCACTGTGGCGGGGGAGGGGACACTAATGAGCACCCAGCACTGTGGCGGGGGAGGGGACACTAATGAGCACCCAGCACTGTGGCGGGGGAGGGGACACTAATGAGCACCCAGCACTGTGGCGGGGGAGGGGACACTAATGAGCACCCAGCACTGTGGCGGGGGAGGGGACACTAATGAGCACCCAGCACTGTGGCGGGGGAGGGGACACTAATGAGCACCCAGCACTGTGGCGGGGGAGGGGACACTAATGAGCACCCAGCACTGTGGCGGGGGAGGGGACACTAATGAGCACCCAGCACTGTGGCGGGGGAGGGGACACTAATGAGCACCCAGCACTGTGGCGGGGGAGGGGACACTAATGAGCACCCAGCACTGTGGCGGGGGAGGGGACACTAATGAGCACCCAGCACTGTGGCGGGGGAGGGGACACTAATGAGCACCCAGCACTGTGGCGGGGGAGGGGACACTAATGAGCACCCAGCACTGTGGCGGGGGAGGGGACACTAATGAGCACCCAGCACTGTGGCGGGGGAGGGGACACTAATGAGCACCCAGCACTGTGGCGGGGGAGGGGACACTAATGAGCACCCAGCACTGTGGCGGGGGAGGGGACACTAATGAGCACCCAGCACTGTGGCGGGGGAGGGGACACTAATGAACACCCAGCACTCGGCTGGGGGGAGGGAGCACCCAGCACAGAACAAGACTTGTCTCCTTTGTCCAGCCCAGAGCAGCCAATGAGTGATGAACTCCCAGGCACCTGGCCTGTCTGCTGGTGCTGAGATGCAGCCACCTGTGAGGTGTGGTGCAACGTCTGTGTAACACCAGTATGGCTGGACCGGGCAGTTTAGGAGGAGACTGTACACAGGAGAAAGCCCTGGACAGGACTCTGATACCTCTTCCTGTGCCCCATGCTCTCCCCAGAAGGCCAGCCCCCAGCTGGCCAGCCCCCGGCCAGCCCCTACGAACCCTGGCGAAGGTCTCCATGCCCTTCTCTTTGAAGTACCACTCGGTGTAGGCCTCGGCCGAGGTCTCACTCCGCTTCTTGCAGGAAATGCAGAGGATCTTGAAGGTCATCCCGAAAACGGCTTCGGTGTGGGAGTCCACCTCCACGCAGCCAGCCGAGCATGAGGACACTTGGGGGACAGGACATTATGAAATTACAGTCCCCCTCAGCCCCAGCCCCCTGATATGCAGCCCCAGATGCAGCCAAGCATCCCTCATCTGAATCCCTGAGCTACTCCCTTCCTCCAGCAGTCCCAGACCTACCCCAGCACCTGAGCTGCCCCATATCTTCCCCCTACCTCTCCCTTCCCTTCAACCAGCTCTGAGGGGCTGCAGGGGCCCTGTCCTTGGATGAGCTGTGGGGGGCTCTGCCGGCTGGAGAGGGGGTGATGGAGGCTGGTTCTGGGGAGATCACTGTTGGCTAGGTCAGGATGGCACCTGCTCTATGGGTGTCTGTCTCTCTGTGCTGCCCCGAGCATGCACCAAATTACCTGGGGGCAGTGCACCAACTGAGCTGGGGAGAGCCCAGGGCTGGGCTGGGAGGGGCTGCGGGTCGAGAGTGAGGGGCACCAGCAGGGCTGGAGGGTACAGGGTAGTTTGGGAGTGAGGGACACTGGCAGGGGCTGTGGGTTGGGAGTGAGGGGTACTGACAGGGCTATAGGGGCTGCAGGTCAGGAGTGAGGGGCACCGGCAGGGCTGGGGGAACCCAGGACTGGGCTGGCAGGGGCTGTGGGTTGGGAGTGAGGGGCACTGGCAGGGCTGGGGGTGTCCAGAGCTGGGCTATTTGTTCTGTAACTGCAGCTGGTTCAGTGTCTCAACTTTTTCTTGTGGTTCCTGCCTGGGTCACTCAGGGATCAGCCCCTGCATCTCTTTGAACAGCTCCTGGGCTCTCAATGTCCCCCAGTCTGTCTGCCCACCCCGTCATCCCGTCACTGGGCCTTAGGGACTGACTGTGCAGCATGGGTTGCAGGGCCAGTCCCACCCCCATGAGTGGCTGCACCCTGCTCCAGGCTCTCTCCCTCTCCTTGACTGGGAATCTATGGGGAGAGTGTGAGGGGACACAGTGTGGACAGGGCTCAGGAAGTCCCCACTGAAACAGGCCCTATCACCCCTCTCCCAACACCTCTGCCCCCAAGAGTCCCTCTCTGGACAGCCCGGGGCCCCCATCTTCTCCGAGGTGTGACTCACCGAGGCCGAGGCAGAGCAAGAGCGAGGGGATCAATGGAGCCATGGTGGGGTCCCGCAGCCCCTGCTGTCCCTGCCTGCCGGCTCCACGCTCTGTGGACAGACGATCCCCTGCAGGACTCTTCCAGGAGGGTATTTATAGCTAGGGCTTGGCGCCCTGCACCACACAGCCTGCACCTTGGAATGTCCTGGCCGGATGCTCCCAGCTGGTCCTGGCGCAGAGCCCTGGAGGAGCAGCCGGGGCAGAGGCTGGCACAGCCTGGCTGCCCCCGGTGCTACACAACTCCCCAGCTGGGTGCAGGGCCCAGCTCTGCTGGAAAAGGGGCACCACCACAGCCCCGGGCAGCCCACGGGGCGGGGTGTGGGAGCCATAAATGGGAGAGCTGGTGGAGCTGTCAGCAGATCTGGGGCCTTCGCCCTTCCCCCCCCCCAGCAGCCCTGTATGGACGTGACTCTCCCGGCCTACAGCTCAGCAGCTGCCACCTGGATTCTGCAGCCCACAAAATGACTCCGAGTCCACAAGCCCCAAGGGGAGGAGATCACCGGGGTCTCAGTTTGATCCAGTCCAGCCGCTGTCTCAGGGTCATTGCGGACCTGCAAACTGGCCACTCAGCAAATCCCCATGGGGTCCCCGTGGCCAGCCAGCTGCCTGAGGATCAGGGCATGGTGCCCCCTTCGGGAGGTGGCGAGATCACACCCACCTTGTGGGGGAGGGGGTGCTGGGGCAACCTAGGCACAGGCTAGCAGCTACTGGGGGCAATGAAGCTGGAGCCCAGCCCAGAGAAGGAGATGGTGCTGGTGCCTGTTCAGAAATGCAGGGGGCAATGGAGCCAGTGCCCAGCACAGAGGAGTGATGGAGCTAGTGCCCAGTCCGCAACGGCAGAGAGCGATGAAGCTGGTGCCCAGATCAGAGGCACGATGGAGCCGGTGCGCAGTCCAGAATGCAGGGAGCGATGGAGCTGGTGCCCAATCCAAAGGGGCGATAGAAGCAGTATCCAGTCAGGAAGGCTGTGGGCGATGCGGGGGGAGGTGGAGCCGGTGCCCAATCCAGAGGGGCGATGGAACCGGTCGGGAAGACAGGGGCCCTCACGGCTCAGCTGTGCCCGGCGCACTGCAGAGGAGCCGGCTGCCGGCTACTGCTGCGAATGAATCAAAGCGTGCGCCAGGCGCAGGGGGCGGGCGGGGACTTGATGCATTGCAGCAGCAGCCGGCGGCAGCCACGGGGAGTGGGGCTGAGGGCGGGACGCAGGGGCCGGTCCCCGCCCACCGGGGAGAGACGAGGGAGGGACCCGCCTGCGGCTGCACAGGAGGTGGGGAGAACAGCCGGGATCCAGCCCTAATCGTCCTTCCCCCTCCGCCCCGCTGCGGCCCCTGCCAGGCCAGCTCCGCCGGTGCCCCTCACTCCCGGCCCGCAGCGAGAGAAACTGGCGAAGATCCAGAGATGAGCAACAGAGAGGATCAGAGGGACCGAACTCTGCCATCCGAACAAAGGGATCAGAGCGCGAGCAGGGGCGGGGGTAGGAACGGTGGAAGTGGGGCAGCGGGGGAGGAGTAGGAATGGTGGTGGTGGAGGTGGGGCAACAGGGTGGGGATGGCGGAGGTGGGGGGCAGGGGCAGGAACTGTGCATGTGGGGTAGAGGAGCAGGGGTAGGAATGGTGGGAAGTTCAGTGGAGCAGGGATAGGAACTGTACGGATGGGGCAGGAGTAGGAATAATAGGAACAGTAAATATGGGGCAGGGGGCTGGACTCGATGACTCC